AGATGGATTGTTTAAGTTTAGACTTTGGAGTTAGAGATATTAATATTTGTTTACTTGTATTTGAATATTAGCCTAGGTTGGTTTGGGAAGTCCGGGGGGTGGGGGGATGGGTTATAACATTGTGTAATATCTGTGATGTATTTCTTTTTTTTTTATGATAAAAACAATAAAATTTTATATTGAAAAAAAAAAAAAAGAAAACTCTGATTATCTAAAACACAGAAGTATGAATATTAAGATGGTAAGAATTTAAATAGATAAAACGTGTATCCCGAATACCAGATTTTGCGAGGAATTGTGATGAAGGGAATTGGGAACATTTAATAACTCGGAAATGGTAAATATTAAACGTTAATTTTAAATATTAATGGAAAATTAAGATTGAGAAAAAGTCACCAGGACATTGACTGTCTCAAACATTGAACGTTAAAACAATCAAGATATATATACATATAAACTAAAAACTATTGATAAATATAAAAAAGTTATTTTTTATTTGACTGATAGAATAAGAAGTGTATTAATTCAAATATGAGATAGAGGAAAAGAGAGGAAATACCTATTGTAACAGTTTGAGATTTGTATTAAGAATATGTGTACGTAATTGAATTATAGTAACTCAGCCGCCCCGTTGTTTTTCAAAGATATAAATGTAATGTTAGAAAATCAATAAAAAAAATTCAAAAAAATAAAAATAAAATAAAATAATATTTATTAAATTATTTCCCTGTAATAAATGGTGGAGGGTTGATGAACAATCTGAAACTACGTGAAGGAAGCTGATGAGCTGAAGAGCTTGGGGACCCCTGCCCTGGATTACATTCCCCCATCTCCAGTTCCACCACTGCCCCCATTTCACACGCGCAACTAGGGAACAATCTTTCTGCCTGCCCCGGAGGAGAGCTTCCCCGGATGTTTCTGGCTGGCAAGGAGGACAGGGGTCCTCCGAACAGGACTTACTTGGGTCGTGACCCATGGCGCCATTGATGGGTCTGTATCGGCTGGCCACGTCCTCCATCTCCACGAGAGACTCTGGAGAGGAGTTGAAGTCGCTCTCCAGACAGGGCTCGGAATCGGTGCTGCTGTCGGAGCTGATCTTGATGATGTCGTTGTTGCTGCCGCCGTAGTGGTCGTAGGTGGTTCTCATCACTTTGTTAAGGCTTCGGACTCTCTGTTTCTCTGGAGGAAAAAAACAGGAAGCATTGAAAGAGCAATTCCATGCAGAGCAGTGTTCCTCAACGCAAGCAACTTTTAAGATGGGTGGACCTTCAACTCCCAGAATTCCACAGCCAGTCTGGGAGTTGAAGTCCGCCCGTCTTCAAATTGCTCAGGTTGAAAAACACCGCCTTTAGACAGAGGCATAAGGAGGGCAGGGGGAAGCAGGGCAATTGGCAAGGCGTAGCAACGGAGACGAACATAGAATAAATAGAGAGTTGGAAGGGACCTCAGAGGTCTTCTAGTCCAACCCTCTGCTCAAGCAGGAGACCTATCTCATTTCAGAGGAATGGTGGGCCAGTCTCTTTTTGAAAGCCTCCAGAGATGGAGCACCCACAACTTCTGAAGGCAAGTTGGTCGATTGCTCTCACCGTTAGGAAATTTCTCCTTAGTTCTAGGTTATTTCTCTCCTTGGTTAGTTTCCAACCATCGTTTCTTGCCTTGGCTTTTGGTGTTTTGGAAAATAGTTTGAAACCCCCCCCCCCATCTTTGTAGGAGCCCCTCTTTCTTTCTGCGTATGTTTTAGCCTCCAGCCCTCTAATCCAGGGCTTTTCAACCAGTGGTATGGGTACCACCTGTGGTACATTGGCACCTAGCAGGTGGTACGCGACCATCCTAAAAAAGTGGTAGCAGGGGAGGGGAATGAGCTGAACCGGTGGCAGCACCGCACAAGCGACAGATGGCTGGAGCTGCAGGGCTGTCAGGGCTCAGTGGAAGCACCAGGATCAGCGCCAGGCTCCAGCTGGAGCTCGGCGCTGATCCTGGTGCTTCTGCTGAGCCCTGAAGAAGCACCAATCAGCTGGAAAACAGTACTGATGAGAAGAACCGCCGATCAGCTGGAATGTTGCAGCATCTCCAGGGTCTTGTGATTTACATTCAGATGCTTGGCAACTGATTCATATTTATGACGGTCACAGTGTCCCAGGGTCATGTAAAGTGACCAAAACCTGCTGCAACCACCCAGCAGACGGGGGGAATAAAAACCAAACACCCCCCCACCCCACCCCCGCTGCCAATCCTCAACATAAATGCTCACAACAATGAAAACCTCAGACAGGAGGAAGAGCGCCGCCGGGTGGGCAGGCAGGTATCTTGCTCGGCTGTGGCTTGGGGGGCACTTTTTTCAGTGCCATTGTAACTTCGAACAGTCACTAAGCGAACTGTTGTAAGTCGAGGACTACCTGTACTTTATCACTTTTTTCCTTTTTGGGGGGGGTCATCAAGTTTTTGACCCCTTGTTAGGCGACTGGTGGTACTCGGATATTGCCATATCCTAAAAGTGGTACAATGGGTGAAAAGGTTGAAAAGCCCTGATCTAATCGTTTGTGTTGCTCTTCTCTGCACTCCTTCCAGAGTCTCAGCATCTGTTTTGTACTGTGGTGACCAGAACTGGATGCAGTATACCAAGTGTGGTCGTACTAAGGCTTCGTAAAGCGGTGCTACAACTTCACGTCATCTTGATTCTATTCCTCTGTTAATGCAAATTAACAGGTTTATTACCAAATTGTGATTTTTTTTTAATATGCTAACCCAAAAAAATCTCCTTTGAACCAAGTTGCTGGTGACATCATCAGTCTATGTTGTTTTTAAGTACAGATATTCCATGATTTATGACCATTCATTTAGTGATCACTTGGAGTTATGACGGTGCTGAAAAAAAGCAAATTCTGACCGGTCCTCACACTTATGACCATTCTAGCATCCCCACGGTTGCATAATCAAAATTTGGGCACTTGGCAACCGGCATGTATTTATGATGGTTGAGGCATCCTGGGATCACCGTTTGTGACCTTCCCGGCTGGTTTCCGACGATGGGGTAAGCCGGATTCACTTAATGACTGCAGTGATTCACTTAACAACCGTGGCAAAAATGGTCATAAAATTGGGTGCAACTCATTTAACGACCACCTTGCTTAGCAATGGAAATTCTGGTCCCAATTATACTCCTGAGACCTACCAATAATTCGGAAACTTTAGGAACCACCACAGATTCCTCACCCTTGGTGGTGTTCCTAAAGTCATTCTTAGGAGGAAGTGACAGTTAAGGTCAGGATCAGATGGGAAGACGCACCAGAAATTGCGTGAATATGAAAAGCGTTGCAGACCTAGGCCAAGGGTAGGCAACCTCGGCTCTTTTATGACGCGTGGACTTCAACTCCCAGAATTCCTGAGCCAGCCATGCTGAGGGGAAAGGGAGAGTTTCCAAGCTGAGCCATGCTGGCTCAGGAATTCTGGGAGTTGAAGTCCACGAGTCATAAAAGGGCCAAGGTTGCCTACCCCTCTCCTAGGAAGAAGATTAAGAGCAGGGGTCTACAAACTTGCCCCTTTTATGACTGGTGGACTTCAACTCCCAGCATTCCTGAGCCAGCCACGCTGAGGGGAAAGGGAGAGGTTTCCAAGCTGAGCCATGTTGGCTCAGGAATTCTGGGAGTTGAGGTCCACGCGTCATAAAAGAGCCAAGGTTGCCTACTCCTGACCTAGAACAAGCCCCTGCGGCAAATGAAGGCATGAAACAGCTAGGAAATAAAAACAGTGAAAAGAAAAAGACCTTTGGAAGAGCAAAATGGAGGAATGGGAAAATGGGGACAGGATGAGAAGGGAGAGAACAGGATGCAAACTGCAGGTGCACCGCAGAAGGTCTGGGATATCAGGATTTTTTTAAAGAGGGTGGGTGGGGGGGAAGGGAGGATAAGAAGGATCTTACGTTTTCTTTTAAGGACACTTCCTCTTTCTCTTTTTCGTTTGGTTGAAGGAAAGTGCTTCCGAATTAGTGAAAGGAAGACGCCTCTGAAAGTTAAGAGGGGATATTTTATTCTAACTGCCAGGATGCCCAAACTGCTCACTTGAAAATTAAAAAAACAACAACAAAAAGGCACAGAGAAAAATCAAAACTAAAACAGAACAACCTAAATGAGGCTCAGTGCTGCGGAATTGAGACGGGTGTTTTCCGTTTTGCAAAAAAAAATAAATAAAAGGTCCAGAGTCTTTGAACCTGCGCTTGGTTTAGTTCCACTAAAACACACATTTCTGTTTGCAATGCTGCCTGGGATATATAGGCTTGTGTGGAGTCCTTGGTGCTCTCTGAGCTTGGTTGTTTTCTTGCAGACTTTTCATGACCCAACTAGGTAACGCCATCAGTGCTAGAAGGGAGTGGAGTTAGCTCTTCTATATGCTAGTACAGGGGTCTTCAAACTTGGCCCTTTTATGACTTGTGGATTTCAACTCCCAGAATTCCTCAGCCAGTGTGCCTGGCTGAGGAATTCTGGGAGTTGAAGTCCACAAGTCATAAAAGGGCCAAGTTTGAAGACTCCTGTACTAGTAGCTTGCCTTGCCAGTGTTAGTGGGAATGTTCTTGGCAGTTTCTTGCTTGGACAGTTGTTTACTGTTTGTTGTCTGAGTTGCTGATGACATACCACTGTATACCGAGAGCAAACACACTCCCTTCTAGCCTGGATGGTGTTACTTAGTTGGGTAATGAAATGTCTGCAAAAAAAACCCAACCAAACTCAGAGAGCACCAAGGATCCCCACACTTTGATTCTGAACTACAAATATTCGCTCCTATTGATAACATATAAATTTTCCTGATATAATGGACGTGTGGACATTTATTTTCACAATGTTATGTATTTCTTTACAGCCCTCCCCAAGTGTAATGGTGGTTGTTGCACTGACATGAAACGTTAATTAACATTAACAACTTAGAAAACTGAACGTTGGATGGCAACTAATTTTCCATTGGGGCAGGGGCTTAAAATATAAAATAGGTTTTCATTCAGCTGCAAAATATAAAGTAGGTGTGCATTTAAATGCAAGCTTAACAAACATCCCCATGCTCTAGACTAGAGCAGGGTCTCTTCAAACTTGGCCCTTTTATGACTTGTGGACTTCAACTCCCAGAATTCCTCAGCCAGGCATGCCTGGCTGAGGAATTCTGGGAGTCGAAGTCCACAAGTCATAAAAGGGCCAAGTTTGAAAACCCCTGCTCTAGAGTAGCGTTTCTCCACTTTGGCCACTTTAAGATAGGTAGACTCCCAACTCCCAGAATTCCACAGCCCGCTTGGCTGGCTGTGGAATTCTGGGAGTTGGGGGTCCACCCATCTTAAAAGTGGTCAAGGTTGAGAAATACCGCTCTAGGTAGCCCACATGTCTGGCTTGGCAGCTATTGGTTCAATTGCTGTGATGTCAGAGAATGTTTAGACACACTATCGCAGTGACCTTTTAGAGACCGAGTGCCCAAACTGCAACCTAAAACCCACTTATGCATCGTCGGATGCCGGGTGGGCATGGCCCATTGGGTGGGTGTGGCCCATTGGGTGGGTGTGGCTGCGGTGGTAACGGCAGATTGGGTGGGACTAAAAAGTTCAATCAACCAATTCCAACTTTGCAAGATCTTTTTTTTTTCCCGCGAGAAGTTGAAATTGACTGATTGATCGAACCTTTTTTTTTTTTGCACACGGCGGCGGAGGCCTAAAGCGAAAAGGTTTTATAAAACCCAGCTGAAGGCCTAGGACCGGGGCGACGGCGCGCGTGCCCACAGAGAGGGCTCTGAGTGCCGCCTCTGGCACCCGTGCCATAGGTTCGCCACCACTGCACTATCGTATCTATTGAAGCCAACAAAAAGTGGCATTTTTGAGGTGAAATATTACAAGGGAACCCTGGAAGTGGTCCTTTTGAGACAGGAAGGGTGGGGTTTTTTTTGGCCTTTCACAAGCAAGCAGCTAATGTGAAGGAGAGAACGCCATACGGTCTTTTCAGAATAACCCCGGACAACTTTATTCTTTGTCCTTCTCTCGTTTAGTTACAGACAGGGCCGTCTTCACAAGACTAGATAGGAAAGGACCAAAAAATGCAAAGGGGGGTGGGTCATGGGGGGGGAGAGGGCTGTGATGCGGTGGCTCAATGTAGATGACAGAGCTTTGAGCGGGGGATGCACCCGAGATGTCTCCCATCTTCACCCCCCCACACCCCCACAAATGCATGGTAGGGGTCATGGACAAAGCAGTGAGCCAAAGGGAAAAAACAAAACATCAAAATGGGGTGAGAATTGGGAATGGCGTGGCCTGAGCTTGGTGGCTTGTTTCAGACAGAAGGTGCAAAGGTTGAGAGGTTTACAATTGGTTTAGGCAGCCAATGGGTTGGATTTCCATGGGTGCCACTAAAATGATGCCAATGATGCCAGGGGAGGGGTGTGTTTCTCAGAGGCTGCCTGAAAGATAAAAGTCCAAAGATGCCTGCCTTTAATCAGAATGCAACAGAGCAGTGATTTTTAAGGGATCCCTCCATGGTACCTACGGAATTGTAGCCCACCAACGTCTCGGGCAGGGACTGTGCTAGAGTTCACAAAAAAAGTGCATCCCCCTCCCTCAGGGCCCCCCCACCAATGGAAAACTCACTCGGCCGCCGACACAAAGCAGTTCAGGTGCCCCTCGTTCTCGTCCAGGACTTCCCGGGTGCGGGCCTCCCCCGTCGACTGCAACCCGATGACCACGCACTGTGGAAGGCAAGCCGGGCAGAAGTGAGACCAAGGATGGCCAGCATGTGGGAAAAAAACAAGCAGTCAAGATGGGTGGAACAGCCTGGCTGATAAAACTCAGGAACCGAAAGTGATGGAGGAGCAGGGCGGGGGGGAAGGGGAAGGAGGAAAAGGAGGAGGAGGAAGAGGAGGAGAAGGAAGACGAGGAGGAAGAGGTAAGAAGGAAAAGGAGAAGGAGGAAGAGGAGGGCAAGGAGGAAGATGAGGAAGAGAAAGAGAAAGAGAAAGAGGAGAGGAGGAGGAGGAGGAGAAGGAAGGGAAGGAGGAAGAGGAAAGAGGGAGGAAGGGAAAGAGAAGGAAAAGGAGAAAGGAGGAGAGGAGGAAGACAAGAAAGAGGAGGAGGAGGAAAGAGAGAGGAAGGGAAAGAGAAGGAAAAGGAGAAGAAGGAAGAAGAGGGCAAGGAGGAAGAGAAAGAGGAGAGGAGGAGGAGGAGAAGGAAGAGAAGGAGGAAGAGGGAAGAGGGAGGAAGGGAAAGAGAAGGAAAAGGAGAAGAAGGAAGGAGAGGGCAAGGAGGAAGAGAAGGAGGAAGAGAAAGAGGAGAGGAGGAGGAGGAGGAGAAGGAAGAGAAGGAGGAAGAGGGAAGAGGGAGGAAGGGAAAGAGAAGGAAAAGGAGAAGGAAAAGGAGGAGGAGGAGGAGGGAAGAAGGGAAAGAGAAGGAAAAGGAGAAGGAAGAGAAGGGCAAGGAAGAAGAGAAGGAGGGAGGACGAAGAGGAAGAGGAGGAGGAGGAGGAGGAGGGAAGAGAGAGGAAGGGAAAGAGAAGGAGAAGGAAAAACAGGAAGAGGAAGAGGAGAAGGAGGAAGAGGGGGGAGGAGGAGGAGAAGGAGGAGGAGAATATTTGAAGAGTTAATTCAAAGAACCACCAGATTGTAAAAGGAAACATGCACACATTCTGCTCTCTCACAGTGAATTATCAGCGCTACAACTACGGGTAACGGAAAGGACGGGCTTTGAAGCAGCGGCGTCTCTCCTTCCTCACCTTGCCCTTGCTGAGCTCCTCCTGGGCCAGCTCCACCAGGCGCCGGACTTTTGCAGCGATGCAGAGGTACTTGAAGAAGCGCTGGTGAGCCCCCCAGAACTGTCCCCAGAGAGACTTCCGAGACTCCAGGCCCACCAGGTCTGCCGCCTGTTGGAAAACCACCAGGGCTTCCGCCCACTGCCAAAAGGGGGGAGAAAAAAAAGGAGCATTTGATTTAGCAGTGATAACGGTATTTTCAGTATTTTATTGAGCATGAGTTTATATCTAACCCCGTGAGAGAGAGAGTGGGCTGAGGGAGGGACTGGCCCAAAGTCAGCCAATGAGCTTCTGTGGCTGAGGAGAGATTAGAACTGGGGTCCACCCACTTCTAATCCACCTTTTTGCCCACCTGATTGGCTCTTAGCCTGGGAGGGGGTGCAAGACCCTAGATCTTCAGCCCCTTCCTCACTACACCTGGCTAAGTGGGAGGGACTGGCCCAAAGTCAGCCAATGAGCTTCTGCATCTTATGGAGGAGTAGAGTCTAGATCCTCCTCCTCCTAGACCAGCCCCTTCCCCACTACACCTGATTGGCTCTTGGGCTAAGAGGGAGAGCCTGGCCCAAAGCTTGCTTTGAGATCTTCTGCGGCTAAGCAGAGATCTGGACCCAGATCCCCCTGCTCTTTCTCTAACCACTACACCACACTCTCAAAACGCCAAGTATGGACCCAAAAGATGTTGAGAGGATCCATATCCTGGGCTCTCAGAGAAGATCTTTTCTTCCAAGCCGGCTACAGTAGTAAGCTCTGCAACTTGTAGCAGAATACAGAATGACAGAGTTGGAAGGGACCTTGAGGTCTTCTAGTCCAGGGGTAGGCAACCTTGGCCCTTTTATGACTCGTGGACTTCAACTCCCAGAATTCCTGAGCCAGCCACGCTGAGGGGAAAGGGAGAGGTTTCCAAGCTGAGCCATGCTGGCTCAGGAATTCTGGGAGTTGAAGTCCACGAATCATAAAAGAGCCAAGGTTGCCTACCCCTGTCCTAGGATGAAGATTAAGAGCAGGGGTCTTCAAACTTGCCTTTTAGGATTCGTGGACTTCAACTCCCAGAATCCCTGAGGCAGCCATGCTGAGGGGACAGGGAGAGGTTTCCAAGCTGAGCCAGGCTGGCTCAGGAATTCTGGGAGTTGAAGTCCACGAGTCCTAAAAGAGCCAAGGTTGCCTACCCCTGGTCTAGTCCAACCTCCAGCTTAAGCAAGAGACCCTATACTGAGCAAAAACAGAGGCGCTTCAAGAAAGGCCAGTTCAATAGTATTACCAAACCCATACAGCAAGTATTACAAAGTCCATATTGCTTGGGCCTCAGGAGAAAAGAGGGGGGAAAATGGCCCTCTACGGAAACCCAAGAGGAAAGGGGAGGATAAGCAAGGCCAGAGGATTTGACCAACCATATGAGCCAGACTCCTAGCAACCATTGGTCGGTTTTCTCCAAGGCGATCTATCCAGTGGTGGGATTCAAATACCTGAACAACCGGTTCTCATATTTAATGCTGGCCTGGGCCTCCGATGCCTAGAACGGACTTCCAGAAGTGGTATCCACACACTTCCGGTGGGCTGTTCTAGGCCTGGGAGGCCTCCTCCAGGCCTCTGATGCCTAGAATGGACTTCCGAAAGTGGCACCCACACACTTCCGGTGGGCTGTTCTAGGCCTGGGAGGCCTCCTCCAGGCCTCTGATGCCTAGAATGGACTTCCGAAAGTGGCACCCACACACTTCCGGTGGGCTGTTCTAGGCCTGGGAGGCCTCCTCCAGGCCTCCGATGCCTAGAACGGACTTCCGAAAGTGGCACCCACACACTTCCGGTGGGCTGTTCTAGGCCTGGGAGGCCTCCTCCAGGCCTCCGATGCC